TGAGATTTATTTTTAATATAAATGTAACCTATACTCTTTTTAATTTAAATCATTTTATCCACTACTGAAATTTGATGACAGAATACTAGTAAAAAAACTTAACCTAAGAAAATGCTATTTCAAACTAAATTATTCCACTGCTGAGATTTATTTTTAATTTAAATCATTTTATCCACTACTGAAATTTGATGACAGAATACTAATAATAAATACGTAACCTAAGAAAATGCTATTTCAAACTAAATTATTCCACTGCTGAGATTTATTTTTAAAAACTATGTGAAGTATATTTATTATAATACTTTTTTATTTATTTCAGAAAATTTTTTATAGACTGGTAATCGGAATTATGATTTTTACTCAAAACTACTGGAATTAGTTTATAAATCCCAAAATTTTATCACGCTTCTGAAGTAATGAAATTTCTCAAATTCTGTTTATTCCTATAAATATTTCAAATTTTTTGAATTATTGATAAACGATTCGGAATAATAGTGGAATAATTATAGGAATGCCTTCAAAAATATGTAAATATTAACTAAATTAAATTTTGAAAGAACTAAAGAAAACCACACTATTTTAAAACGAATTATTCCACTTCTGAGATTCTGATGACAGACTTCTCGCAGATATATACCAACTTCCGAATTTTTTAAAACTAATAGATTTTTTGTATATAAAATCACAAAATATTATTACGCTTCTGAATTATTGATGACTGTTAAAGTTATTTGAAATAGATTGTGACGTATACGGAATTAATAGTGGAAAATTTGTTGAGATGTATGAAATAATAAAAAATTATATAATAAATGTACTTTAAATAAAATTTTAATTTAATTGGTATACTATTATTCTGGTTTTATTTTTTAATTAATATATATATATTTTTTTTTGTTATTATCACAAAATATTATTACGCTTCTGAATTACTGATGACTATTAATGATGATATTTAAATAAATAAGTATTGAAAAAATATAGAGGAATAATTATGTTAAATGATAAAAAAAACTTCTTACAACTAAATTCTACAAGATGCTGCAAATTCCAATTCTACTAAAGGGCTATTCATTCCATTCAGACTTAAAATAGAAAACCGAATTTATGTGTCGATTTGAATTTTAATTCTGAATGCAATTATAGCTTCCCTTATACAGTCTAACCACAATACAGCATCTTGTAGATATATCCCAACTTCTGATTTACTTAAAACTAATTGATTTTTGTTTATAAAATCACAAAATATTATTACGCTTCTGAATTATTGATGACTGTCAAAGGTTATATTGCAATATAAAGGAATTATTAGTATAATAAATAATGTAAATGAAATAAATATATAATTAAAAGCTAAAAAAGGAGCAATAACTAAATATTTCCTAAAACTATGTTCACAAGATGCTGCATTACAATTCTACAGGGTATCCCCTGACATTTAATAATTACAAATACATATTTTAATTGTAAAATTCTGTAATGAGGATGCTATGGAGACTCGTGCTTCTAAAAAAAGGACGCTTTCTTCAAATAATAAGTCCGCCTCGCAACTAAGCTCGCGACATCGCCATATATTCAAACTGTAATACAGCATCTCGTAGATATATCCCAACATCTGATTTACTTAAAACTAATCGATTTGTTGTTGTTTATAAAATCACAAAATATTATTACGCTTCTGAATTATTGATGACTGTAAAAGTGAACGGCATAATGGAATTAATAGTGGAATAATTATGGGAAAAATATTAAAATAAATCTAATTAAAATATATGATTAATTCCACTACGCCGTCATTGTTATAAATAACTTAAATATGAAATTCTAAATGCTAAATATATCCCAACTTCCGAATTTTCTAGAACTAATTGATTTTTGTTTATAAAATCACAAAATATTATTACGCTTCTGAATTATGGATGGCTGTTAAAGTGTATTGAAAAGTTTGAGACTACATAATGGAATTAATAGTGGAATAATTATTGAAAAAGTAGTGAAATAAATCTAGCTGAAATATATGCTTAATTCCATTATGTTGTCTCCTTATAAAAAACTTAAATATAAAATTCTTAAACCTAAATATATCCCAACTTCTGATTTATTAAAAACTAATTGATTTTTGTTGTTTATAAAATCACAAAATATTATTACGCTTCTGAATTATTGATGACTGTTAAAATTTGGTAATGATGGAATGGAAATTGTGACATAATGGAATCAGTAGAGGAAGAATTATAGAATATAAAAAAGGAAGTTTACTAAATTAAATTTTAATTCTCATTATGTCACCCACTCTATGTTAGAAAATATACTTTTACTACTATACTTCTAAAAACTAATCTCACAAGATGCTACATTTCAATTATATTAAAGAGTTTTGAATAAAGCAAAAACAGCTGCCGGAAATAAATTTATAATGTCAACTACGCTTTTTAGTTCAAGTTTTTGATTCCGACAGCAATTAGAGATTTTAAAATCGACGAGAGAGGAATTATGTCGTCTGGAACAGTCACAAATTTCCACGATAAAAGGACATAGTTACTTAGTATATTAGAAGGAGTAAGGAACATTGATTTGAATAAAAGAGCGAAAGAAGAAGGGCTATGTAATGAACGAAGAGCTTGGTTTTGTGACGATATTATGTGGTAATATCTATCGAAAACCAAGTCCTTCGTTCATTACATAGTTCTTATTTATTCTCTTCCTCCAACATCAAAGTTTCGTACTCCCCTGAATATGGTATGAACAAATTATCTCATTTTCTTGCATGAAAAAGGACTTCAATTTCAAAGCCTGTTCTTACAATTTAAAAATACCTCTTTTAGTATATTCGAAATGTAACATCTTGTGTATATATCCCAACTTCTGATTTCCTTATAATTAATAGCTTTTTATTGTTTATAAAATCACAAAATATTATTACGCTTCTGAATTATTGATGACTGATTATCTACCTTCACTTTGTTATAAATAATGGAATGATTTAAAAAAATCACAAACTATTATTACATTTAATTTGGAATGGTTATCTCAAGGAAAATAATCATATGAAACTAAGAAAAACTTTTAAAAGTTCTAAAATCTTTGGAGAATAAATAAAACCCTTATGAGAAAAGTCTGTATCTCAAAATGGAAATAATGGAGGTTAAACAATACCAAATGGATTCAATCTACAGATTTGGCAATCGCTAACTATATCAAACCAGCTACTTGCAACGATTTTCGAAATATTGAGACGTTTTTCAAAGAAAGAGCCGGTGAATTGTGGCACAAAGAACCTAGATAAAATTTGTCAAGATCCATTTGGCCAATTCGGTCAGTCGAGAGAACAAACTCACTGTTAAACCTAACCAAAACTTAAATAAGAGTAATTGCGGGAGTTATATATGGACCTTCTGTTATATCAGGGTATACACCATAAAATGAAAAGATTATGTAATGGAATACTGCAGACTCTGTGGGAATGACAAGGTGACGATCAAGCGTCTCTCATGTGGCTGTCCAGTTTTGGCCTGCAGACGGCACAGATTAGTGGGTGTTTAATTTTCACTATGTCTAGCATTCTACTCGGTAATTTAGCCCGCCTTTATCTACAATAGAAATATAAAGTGGCTGGAACAGCGCAATCTGAAAACGTAGACCGTTTATCCTAACTTCTATTTTATCTGCTTCTTTTCTTCCCTTTTCATCTAAAGCAACTTCCATCTACTTTTCTTTTTCCGAGTGGCTCAGCCACAGTTAGTTACTGTTCATATCCTAGTCTTGGCATTCCAGCTCGCCTATAAGTTTTCTCTGATTCAGAACGTCTATAAGAACAACCTGCCTTCAATTTTGCATAAAGAATCTTAGCCTACAGAGCGCATTCCTTCATCACGTCTGTAAAGAGTCTCTAACCTTCAGTTCGTCTATAAAAACTACCTTCTTCAATTCGTCTGAAAAGACTTCATGCCTTCCGCTCGCCTATGAAAATTTCCTGCCGTCAGCTCAACTATGAAGACTCCCTGCCGTAATCTCGTCCATAAAGACTCCATATCTTCCGCTCGCCAATAAAAAAAACGTCTGTTTTGAGCTCGTCTATGAAAGACTCCTTGACTTCAGCTCGTCTATAAAGACTCCCTGCCTTCAGCTTGTCTATAAAGATTACCTGCCTTCACAGCTCGTCTATAAAGACTCCCTGCTTTCAGCTCGTCTATAAAGATTACCTGCCTTCACAGCTCGTCTATAAAGACTCCCTGCCTTCAGCTCGTCTATAAAGACTTCCTTCCACTCGTCTATAAAGACTCAATTCAGCTCGTCTATAAAAATGTCCTATTTCAGTTCGTCTATAAAGACTCCCTTCAGTCCCTCTACAGAGATTCCCTCCAGCTCGTCTGCAGTGATTCTCTTCAGCTCGCTCTCCTATAAAGAAGCCTTCATCTCATCTTAAAGATTGCATTCAGCTCGCCTACAGAGACTACCGTCAGCTCGCATATAGAGACTCCCTTCAGTCTAAAAAGATGGCCTACCTTCAGCTCGTTTATAAAGACTCCTGCTTCAGCTCTCTATAAAGACTCCCTGACTTCAGATCTATGAAGGCTGCATGCCTTCAACATATACTTTTCTTTCGGATCAATAAAGACCCACTTCAGCTCATTTACAATAAATCCCATTTCGGTTTCCTGTAACCATCTTTTGGTCGTCCTCCGAAGTCCTTTAAATCAAAATAATTTACAGCACATTTTCTTTTCCTTTTTTTGGGGGATGGTGGTTAACAATATTAAAAAAGAGTTGATGATAAACTAAACTCAAAAAATTATTCTAGAGATTCCAAAAACACTTACCCACAGCCTTTTTACAAAATGGTATTTTTGGTTGTTCTTGTTGTTGTTAGTATATTACAATAATTACTTGAGGAGAAATGTATTACTGCTGTTCTCGATTACCTCCTTGCAAAAAGAGAGGGAGAGAGAGGGAGAGCTCGAACAGTTCCATTTAATCCTTTAATATGAACGGGAATGCTGCTATGTATGATGGGTAGTAGATTGTGAAGTTGTAGGTGATGATGATTTTGATGTAGTTGCTGTTGTTGTTGTGGATTTATTAGATGTTTTACGCTGTTGTTGTTGCTTGTTGTTATTCGTATTCTTGCCTAAATTAGTATCTGGAGTTTGACTCGATGTTGTTGAGGTTGTTTTTGTTGTCGTTGATGATGATGTTGTTGCTGTTGATTTTGATGATGAGGAGGAAGGAGGAAATTCTTTTGGATTGAAATCAGCCAAGGCAAGTTGTTTTTCAGGTGATTGATCAGGTAACTTGTTGATTTTTTGCAAACGTTGTTCGACAATTTGCAAATGACGCAGTATATATTCTTCTCCCGGTGCCAACTGATGGGCATAACGTAGACATTGCTGGGCCTTTAGCATGTGTTTACGTTCCACGAAGACCACACACAGATTGTGTAGGCCCTGTATATTATGGGGATCCAATTTCAATATGGAGCGATAACAAATTTCAGCAGCATCTAAATCTTTCATGTGATTTATGTAGATGTCTCCCAAGAGTATTAGACCCTTAATGTGATCGGGATGATGGCGTATTAATTGATTAAGAAATGGTACAGCATCCAAAGGGCGATTGGCATCAGCCAATAGCAGAGCCAAATTGAAGAGAGCACTACGAAAATCTTCTTTCAAATGTATGGCCCGCTTGAAATATTGTTCCGCAGCTTCGAAATCCATTTCATCCATGGCCAACATACCCAAATTAAAATAGACCTTTTCATTGTCGCCATTTTTTTGTAAGATTTTGTGTAACCTTTCCCGCGATAGTTGTCTAGCTTCAGGACCACCCATTTCTTGTAAGAGAATTGCCGAATTCAGTAAGGCCTGTTCATGTTCCGGATATAATTCGAGAGCCTTATTGAAATAAACATTGGCCTGGGCACTTTTACCCTGCTCTAGGAATACCACGCCTAAATTATAATAAATATCCGCATTTTCACTGTCATAAAGCAAGGCCTTTTCATACACCTCTTGAGCCTGCAGGGTGCGATTGAGTTTCATTAGAATATCACCACGATTTATATAGGCCTGGACATAATCTGCACGCATGCTAATCGCTTGACGGTATAGGAAATCAGCCTCCTCTAAACGGGTTTGATTGCGTGCAATTAAATTTGCCAAATTTATGAAAACATTCAAATGATTTGGGGCAATGCGGGCCTGATAACTTTCTCCCGGTTTGATGCGTGGAAATAGCGACTTTGCTTTCAGATATGCCTTCTCAGCTTCATCATACATTTTCAAATTGTTGTATGTCCTACCCACATTAATATGGGCCCCAATGTCATCGGGTTGTATGTGTACCGCTTGTTGGAAATACAATAAAGCCTCCTGGAATCGCCCTTCATTTTCCAGTGCATGACCGACATTATTAAATAGCTTAGCATTGCGATCGTTGACATGTACCCCCGACATAAACAATGAATATTCATTAATCCAATCTTTGTTACGTTGATAAGTTTTGGCGCTATGTGTCAGCAGCAGGGCCACCAAGGATAATTTCCATATAAATTGCCATCGCTGAGGAGATTTCGTCTCCACCAGTGACTCCTTAATTCTTTCATAACCATAGGCTATCAGCAGACAGAAACCCATTGAAGGCATATATAAGATACGTTCGGCCACCACAAAACCAACGGGAAAGAATAGATTCGAGGCTGGCAGGAATGGCAAAATTATCCAAGCCAAACACATAATTAGCATGCGGGAATGTTGTAGACTTTTACTGCGACATGCTGTCCAAATTAGGGCAGCCAAAGAGGCAAAGGTTATTAGCGTGGCCACATTACGTATATCACCAAAGCCCTCTATCAGGGGTACAGTACCTGGAATAAACAGAAAATTGATTAGAAATTTTCCTTAAAGATCTTCATAAAAAATAAATTCAAAACGAGTCTCTGAGGTTTTCTTCTTTGAAATCTTAAAAATGTTTGAAATTCCTATCTTAATAAAATTTTCAAAATAACTCCATTACAAGTTATGAAAATCAGAGACCTCAAAGTTTTTCTTTCTTTGTCGACCACAAATACCTTTTACATTCCAAAATTTGCTACACGAAACCTCTTAAATTTTTTAAATAAAAATTTTCAGAATTCTTTTAAACTCATCAAAAAAAATCCACAGAGAACTAAGACGTGAAAAAAACGTTTCTCTCCTGGCGAATTCAAACGCCAACTGAAAAACGATGTCCAAAAACCCAATCTTTCCTTCCTTTACTGAATTCAGGTAAAAATCTCATCATGCCACCCTTAGTGAATTAAAAATCATACAGGTATTGAAAGAGAAGGCATACTGAAACAGAGAGAGAGAAAGGGAAAGAGGATCATAAATCTTGCCAGGGGTGAGTAGCTGAAGCCATTAACAGATTTAATTAGAGCACAAGAGGATATTGATGAATTTTAGGCAATTAGGGGTTAGTCTCACACGTTCTCTTCTCATTTAACGCAATAGGTGTGCTATGAACAGCTGTAGTGAAGAAAAATGCATTTCGAATTCAAAGAAAAAAAAAATCCGCTTATTTTTGATTACAAGAAATTCCAGAAAACACCTGATCCTGAGTTCAAGGCAAGACTAATGGATTATGCCATAACATCTGCCTGCCTTCGGATAAATGCCTATAGCATTGGAGAATATGAGATTGCATTCTAAGAAAGCATGGTAATATAGCAGGGTGAGACTAGGGACATTATTTCCTTTTTCAAAATGGAGAAGTGGATTTAAAAAATATAGTTATTTTCGAGTGAATTTCAAGGCGTAATTAAAAAAATAAAATAAAATTTTGAGAGCCTGTGAGGCCGAGATTTTTATTATTTTTTTTATACCAATTGATTTTAAAGCCTCCAGCATAGACTTATGTTCGGCAAGGGCCACACAGATACTGTCTGTATATTCTTTTGGACCAGTATATTGTGGAGGTTTTGCGCCAGCCTATCAGGACAGAACATTTTCAAAAAGACTTTTTTTCAGAGAAAATCGTTGACAATTTATGAAAATAACGTAGGAATTGTTGGAACTTCAACTGGTGTTTACGTTCCGACATAGACAGCACATAGTTGGTTTTCGGCCCTGTATAATGGTGGAGATCCAATTTCAATAAGGAACGATAGCAGATTTTAGCAGCATCTAAATCTTTCATGTGATTTTTATAGATATCCGACAAGAGTATTAACCCGTTAATGTGATCGGGATGATGGCGTATTTATTGATTAAGAAATGGTACAGCGTCCATAGAGGCGATTGGATCAGCCAGCAATAATATCGGGCTACATTCGAATAAATACCCATAGCTTTGGAGAAAATCTGGTAGCATGGTAGTATAACAGGTTAAGAATAGGGAATCTTTGCCATTTCAAAACGAGGATGGGACATAAGGAAAATAGTTCTTCTTTTGAGTGAATATCGAGTGGCAATCCGTGCCAATTGATTGGCATTGAACGTAGCCATTGCTGAGCCCTCAACAGGTGTTTACGTTCCGACAATGACAAAATAAATATTGTGTAGGCCCTACTGTATATTGTGGAGATGCAATTTCAATATGGAACTATAGCAGATTTCAGCAGCATCTAAATCTGTCAAGTGTTTTATGTAGATATCTCCCAGGAGTATCAAACCTTTAATGGTCCGGATAATGGCGTATTAATGGATTAAGAAATGGTTCAATGGTATGAAAGCATGGTGTAAAGAAGGATGATAATAGGGATTCTCAACCCAAAATTCAAAGAAAAATTTAATTAAAAATTATTTTTCGATGGACTGTCAAGTCCGGGCATTATCTAAAATAATATTTCTTTTAGAGACAATGGATTCCAATTGATCTTTACATTCACTACTATTTATCAATGAAGAACTGTTGGCCTCTAATATTCCAGGAGGTAGGAGGATTTGACACTCAATTCGTTTGAAAACCCCAATCAGAAATCCCAAATTCCCAAATTAAAGAGGGTACACTTATATGGGGGTTACGAAGAAATATGAACCAATATTTAAAATTTTTGTTCGGAAGATTTGCTAACCTAAGACATTACAAAACGTGGACCGATATTGATAATTGTTGGTAGAAACAATTGCTAGTCAATGTGGATTCAAAAGATAAAACTTCTGGATGAAAACCTTACCCAAAATCCCCAAAATATCGAATAACGGGATATATTAGGTTGTCCCATAAGTTTCTTTCCTTTTCATACCGATTTGCATATCTCATCTTGATCAAATGCCTATGTACCATTGTCTTGGGAATGTTAGTGTCATCCACTATCTCGTGCACACTATATCGCGGATTTTCAGCCATCGCAGTCTTGATAAGGTCCGCATCCATCGTTACTGGGCAGCCGATGCGGTCTTCATCATGCAAATAAAAATTGCCGACTCTAAACGTCTTAAACCAATTGCGGACGGTCCTAATGGTCGTAGTACCACTCCCGTAAACGTTGCAAATCTCGTCTGCAGTGTCCTTTGCACTATTGCCTTTTTTAAAGCAATAAAGCATAACATGCCGTAAATGTTTCTTTTGGTTCTCCATATTGAACGGGGCAGAAAAAATTGTAAAAGAGGCTTTGTCACCAACGAAACGTGATTTCTATTGCCTGTTCGATGAATATTTCGAAGGAAGGAGGAGGGTATTAAAAATACTCAATAGGTAGATGTCTTTCCCTTGCAAATACTCTCTGCAAAGGCTTAATTTTTAAAGGATTTGATTTTAATTTTTGTTTTCTTTGTGGGTATTCTGTCTGTTTCATCGCAACAATTTGTCGTCCAAATTGTTCAGTTTCCAACGTTTCCTCCAAAAATTAAACTTGGTAAAACACCAAAGGCCCTATTGGGTAAAACTATATGTCATGTATAAGGGTGAGCCAATTGTCTGAACCTGAAATTTTTGGCACATACTACTAAATAGGTTTTTATTTTAATTGGTTGGTCCATATATAATTTCATTCATCAAAATTGTAAACACCTTTTTTAAATTAGTCTCCTCCTTAAAGTATGCAACAATTTTTTAAAATTTCAAATTATTTTGCATTCTATTTTCCATTTACTTTCTAGTTTTTTGATCCGATAAACGAATAAAATATGAAATATGCCCTCTCTATTCTAACTTCAGCTTGCCTAAATTATTATATTTAAATATTCGGCGGGCAAAACATATCCCTGTTTTTACTTTGTCTTCAGTTTGGTATTGAAAACTCTTCGCATAAACCAATAATTATATGTAAATACCTATTAAAACCCCCATCTCCTAAAAGTATGCTACAAATTTTACAATTTCCTTTTATTTTTATACTTTTTTCTTTTTATACTTTTTTCTTTCTCCTAAACTATGAGGTATTTGAAAAGACGTTTTCGGCATGTTTAAATATTCAGCGGACGAAACATAAATACATATTTACTTCATTTGTCCCCAATATAAAATATAACCAATAATTGTAAGGTCTCTATTTAAATCAATCTCCTAAAAATATGCTACAATTTTTATAATTCCCTATTATTTTAATACTTTTCCCTGCGCCCTGTTTTCCAATTGTTTTCCTTGCATTTCCGATCATAATGACAAATTATGAAATATATGGCAAGCGCCTCCTCCTCCTCTGCCTCTCTCCCTATGTTCATTCCTTTGTTCGTTGCTTGCCCCACACACACACTTACCCATAGTCCAATCACAGCATAAATCACATGGAAATAACAGGAGCCAAGAATTCAAATAAATCAAATAACTATAGGTGAGCTGTCGTACTGGAGCATCTGCAGCCGAAGCCGGATTATCGAAACGTGTAAATACAGGTAGTTGAGAGCCCATAACATAGACACGACCGACCAAGAGGCATAGCGTTATGGAAACTAAAAATGTTAAACGTTTCAGTAAGGCGGAACTCCATGTTATGGGAGGGAGTGGTGGTGATAGAGAGCCTGAGTTAAATGCAGTTGTTGATGTTGCTGTTGGCGAGTCCAGTGAATTTTCCGCGGAAGATGTTGCAATATTGCCGTTCGAATTTAAACTAAGGACTGCTGCATTTTTACCAGCCTTATTTGTAGGTGATGCTGATGATGACGACGATGCAGATGAGCGTTCTTCGAATAGATTCAGCAATGTCGACCACAGCTGGAGAGGATGTATGCGCTGTACCACAAAGAGTTCATATGTTACACAAATACCTGCTATGGTAATGCCCTGTTCCTTGCATAACATTGAGGCCAGCAGACACAGCGAAAAATTGAGAAATAACATTGGCCATTGAGTTGTTGAACATTTGTTGAGTAGTTTAACAGATTTTTGTAATTTCGAAGAAGGAGATTGAACTGGATTCTTAACAGCCTTGGCATAGCACAGAAATGCTAACAGGAAAAATATCGAAGATAATAATTCAGCACGACCTACCACACCAGTTACCGCTTCACTGTGTATGGGATGTACGGCAAAGAGCAGCGAACTTATGAAGGAGGTATTTTGAGCAAATTGTTGGCGTTGGGTACATTGCATTAGCAGGAGACGGCTAACACGCCGCCATATGAGACACACTGCAATGTGCAGTAGAATGTTGACAGCATGATAGCCATACGGTTGCAGTTCATGCAGCCAATAGTTAAAACGAAATGTTAAAACGGTTAGCGGGCGATAGGATTTATGAGAGTGTTCCTTGCGCATTGGTGTACCCCAGAAATCATTGAGAAATATTTGACGTAGAGGGCTGGTGGGTCGTAAATCCTTATTGTCTCGTATTGCACTGATATCATCGAATACCAGACCACATTGTGTTGAATTGTAATAGCAGACGAGACATAAGCCGACTATGGAAAGTAATTGAAAGAGATTTGTGGAAGTGAAAGGGGTGCTACCAGTCGTGGATTTTGCAGCAGAGGAGAGGGAGGTGGTGTTGCTGCAACTGCTGTTATTTATTTGTGTTGCAGCAATTTTATGGCTGTCACGATATCCTGCTGCAGACCCATTTGTTGTTGTTGCTGCTACTGTTTCTGTTGTAGTAAAGGACGTTGCATTACTGGCATGGCTGTTGTTGTTGCTGTTGCTGGCATGCATAACATGACTGCTGCTACTGGCTGTGGTGCTTTTGGTTTTATTGACACCATTTGTGTGTATAACTAAAACTGTCATTGTTGTTGTTGCTGTTCGTTCGTTTTTTGTATATATATACTGATGATATTGTTATTGCAGAATTCTTAGCTGGCTGGCTGGTTTACTGGCTGACTGTTTGGTTGACTGACTATTTTGTTGTCCTGCTGTTTTTGTTGTTGTGATTCGTTGGCTTTGCCTTAATATTTTGTGTATACAAAATGACTACAATAATAAAAACAATGATAATAATATGATGCTCCTGCTGGTGCTAGCGTCTGTCGTTGCTGTTACTCCCTTGAGTATGTTGTTCGGAACGTGTAAGTATTTTGTTGTTACTTTATATATATGATGATGCCAGAGAGGGAGGATGATGATGTGTTTGTGTCAGTCTGCTTCTTTTTCGGTGAGGGTGTCAGTTAGCAGCTTTATGTGTTCTTAACTATTGAACTTTTGACACGAATTTTTCACCTCCGGTTTGACTTTCAGTCAATTTTTTCCATATATACACACAACAGATTTCTTCTTCCAGGACAATGACTGTCAATTTGAAGGGGAAAGGGAAAGATGTTAAATTTTTTTTACTTAATTTCGTGTATATTTTTGTGTAATTGTTTCTTTCTTCGCTCTCACATTGACCTTCAAAAAAATCCGGGGGAAATACTGGTGCAAAGTAATAAACTTTTTGGATGGCTGGCTGTATTTTTTTAGGGAGTGTCAATTACAAAATAAAGGCAATGAAATCCTTGCGCTTCGTTGCAATCTTTTTAGGGGGTTTTTCGCTCTCTCGTTTACTTTTAAGTTTTAAAAACTCGTCCTTGTTTTAAATTACTTAGAGTATTGAGTCATATGCAGGTAGTTGTTGTTGTTGTTCTTGGTAATAATTTTATCCTGAGCGCCTTTGCACAAAAATAAATTAAATTTTAAAAATGCTGTTTATTTTCCTTTGGAATCAAGGAAGATCGGTTGTTATTGAGTCAGGTTAATTGGTTGTTCTGCGTTCTATTTGATTTCAATATTATTTTATTTAATAGCAACTTGTTCTTCTTCTTCTATTTTTTAATATCGAACTTGTTCTTCCTTCTCTATTTTTCTTTCAATTTTTATATTTTCTCGCTCCTCTTTAATATTGATATTTAATTTTCATTTCTTTTGTTTTTATTGTTCATCATATTTCCTTGTTGGTTTTTTATAGGTGGTTTGGTTTTTTATTCTCTTTTCTTCCATGTAAAGCACTTCCTTTCAAATATATGTATGTGCATACATATTAATCAGTTTTTAATACGTCGATTTATATCTACATGACAAAATATGATCATCACCATCACCATCGTGTATAGTAATATTGACCATCATCATCCTGGCCATGATGTTGTCCCATTGGTTTGTTGTATCTGTAAATAAATGGGGGAAAAATGTATTCAGGATTAAAATAGTTGTTCATATATAATGCCATCACGACCACACACAGCAGGCAGCAAGCATGTTAAATCTTTTGGAAAATACAGAGGATTTTTTTTTTTTTTGAAAAGAGGATTTATTTGTGGAATTCAAAGTTAATATTTATTAATTACACTGGGTAACAAAAAATAATTACAAGGGAAAAAATAAGAAGCTTTGGAAAAGACTCCGAGGTGCTATATGGATATGCCACTTGATCATCTAAAAGAAGGCCCAAATATTTTCAATGGGAAGACTCCAAGTTATTCTATAGTGATAAAAGAATGAGATAACCTTTAGGCAACTGGGGAACATTATATGTCTACTATGGAAAGACCCGTAGATCATTAAAAAAATTCCAAACATTTTTATGGAAGACCTACTGTTCTCTAAGTATAATTAGAACTGTGACATTTTGAGAATTTATAGATCTTATATGAGAAGATTAAAAATGTTTTCAACGAAAAGCCCCATAGGTCTTCAAGACAGAGGGATCTACAAATCCGAAACGACCCAAGTCTTACTAGGCCAAGGTCTCTCACCTCAGCCCATTGTGTAAAAGCAATAGGGCTGCTACAACAACAACAACATAGGTATTCTATAAGAAAAAATCATCAATATAAGAAGATCAATTCGTTTTTTATGATAAAATCAATTCTTATTCTATGATACGACCAAAGCAAGTCCTCTATATATTCTATAGGAAAGCACACAGGGAAGACCTAAAGATCTCCTATTGGATGATTTATTGAACATCTACAAGAACACCTTTGACTTTCAATAAGAACCTTAGGTCTTTTATTAGAAGCCACCTTTTCTTCTTATGACTTCTAGGAGAAGACATATTGGTCTGCTCTTTTAAAACTTATTGAAGGATAAGAGGTCTATCTATGAGAAGACCCCTCGATCATCTACAAGAAGACAACTTGGTTCTATAAATTGAATTATTGGACTACTTTGAGTAAAATATATGGTCTCCTATTCGAAAACCCAATGGTCTTCTATGAGTTGACATTTTGGCCGTATAAAAGAGAAATTTTTGGTCTTCCATAAGAAGGAGATCTTTCCTGTCTTTCATAGGAAGATCGTTCCATCTTCTATAAAATGTCATTTCTGTATTACAAAAGGACACGATTTGGCCTTGAAGTTTGTAGAGGATTTTTTTATTGGAAATAAGTCACATTTTAGTCCTCTGAGGACCTAAAGGGCCAAATTATAACCACGTTGTTTCGGAAAATGCGGCTATTCTCTGAGAACCCGATAAGCTAACTTGTAGGTATTTCCTTTGGAAAATTACGTTAGGACCTTACAAATATATGAAAGAGGTCGATATACTTCTGAAAATGTCGTTCAAGATTTTTTTATTTCCTGTGTATTCGAAATACCACTTCAGTTGGACAATTGGATTATTAGGATCATCAAAATATTGAAAATTATACAGGAATTATTAGGATCATCGCATTATTAGGATCATCAAAATATTGAAAATTATACAAGAACTTTATAGGCGAAATAAGTCGGTCAAAAGGTTTTTATTATCTGAGAAACCTCGGAAAATGAGACATGGACCAACTTTGAAAAATTGTCAGAAAATTCTTCATCCGCCGAGAAACCAAAAATCTCAAGTGTAGGCATTTCGTTTGGAAAATGAGATTAGGGCCTTCCAATATATACAAGAGTTCGGTATCCTTCTGAAAAATATCGGTCAAGAGGTTGTTCTTCTTATCTTTGAATTCGAAATGCTAAATTCCATTAGACAAAATTGCAGTTGGGTCCGTCAAGAGGTTTTTTATCATCTGAAGTGCTAAATTATAACCACTTCGTTTCGGAAAATTAAGCTAAATACTACACTTCGTAGTAAATTTTCAACATGGGACCTATCAAAATTCTAGAATTAGTCTGCATACTTCTGACAATGTCATTCAGGAGATTTTTTCCTTTCTGGGAATTCGAAATCCAAGTTCGACAGAAAAACATTGTTGTTAGTACCTTCGAAATGCGGAAAATTGTACGTAACCTATATATGGGAAATAAGTCGCAACGGGACCTTTATATAAATAAGTCAGAACTTGGATTTACATTGAAAACTTTCTGCCAGAGAGTCTATTATTTTTATATTATCGGCTTGGACCTTCAGATTTATTATTCCAAAGCCCTGGTGAGAGAAATAGAGATTTTTCAAAATTGCAGTTAGAACCTTAAAAAATGCCGAAAATTGTATCGATGTTTTATATAGGAAACAGATCAGAACATGTACCTATATTGAATAATATCTGGTCGAAGCAACTTGAGTTGGAATATGCGGCTTCGATCTTCAGATTTCTTGTTCCAAAGCCCTGGTGAGAGAAATACTTCTTCGTTGAGATTTTTCAAAATTGCAGTTGGAAACCAAAGCGAAAACGGAAAAAAGAACTTAATCACTTGGTACATATTTGTGTTTTGAATTGAATTTAACCAAAAACACACCATGAATTTCAATTGAATTTTGATGCACAGAAATATGTATATCATCTTTGTAGTTTCAATTGCCCCACAATTCCACCTCCTCCTCCCCTCTCTTATAACTCTGAATATTGATTTTAAAATTTACTTTTATTACATTAAACAAATTTTTAAAGGCCAACAACTTTCAATTATATCCCCAGAGGCTGCAATATGAAAGTACAAAGGAAAATACTGGCCCCAAAAGTTGACCACATATCTTGCCCTTTGTGAAATGGAGAAAACATTAAAATTATGCGGTATATTTTTTGGGGGAGAGAAAGTAAAACTAAAAAGTCATAACTCAGTGAAGCGAAAGGAAAACACACACAAAAACTCTTTTTGTTGGAAAGTTTCCAAAAAATACAAGAAAAAATCCCTACAAATATTTATTAGACTTAGTGGCCTTGAGGAGAATACAAAGAAAAGAAAACGAAGCGTTGACAATGTGTAAATTGTTTATTTGCATTTCAAAATAGAATATGAATAGTAATAATAATATTATTTATAAGGAATATATGTAAATCTGTGCAATTTATATTTTTAGGTTAAGTGGTCAAGTTGTAATGAAAATGTGTATAACTTGCCGGTCGGTCGGTCATCTCTCTCTGTCTCTATACAAATAACAAAAAAATGGTTCATAATGTTATGCAGCAGCTAAGCTGTGGCAAGTAATAACTACTGCTGCTGCAGTAGTAAAGACAAATGGAAGTAAAAAGAAAAACAAAAAATTAAAATAATCAATAACTAACCTCATTTCGAGGGAAAAAAGGCATTAAAATGCAGCCATAGAAAAAAAATTGAAAACAATTTCTTTAAAAATTAATTTATTTTTCAAATTTAATTGCCCCAAAAAGACCCGGTGACACTATTGGCCATAAACAAAACGGGTCATGGAACAAAGTAACCATAAATTTGCAAAAGCCAGTCAAACACCCACCATAACACATAGCTAAGGCAGTCAACCACTCCCTAACATCCTTTATTCTACACACAATTTGTAAAGAGTCCATCACTTTACCCTCCAAATGGAAAATTTGTAATGACATTTTAAAATAAATAATTCAATTTCTAAACTTACCGCAATCGATATAAATTCTATATGTATTTGAATTACTAAA